AGACGGGGTGAGGGGCAGAAGCGTGCAGAGACGGGGTGAGGGGCAGAAGCGTGCACAGACCTTCTGTCCTTGAGAAGCAGCTAAAGGAGCTGATTGCTAGGACACTATTTCCCATCATTCTTTCACCATCTTCATAGTATCTGTGGCATTTCTGGCACCATCTGTACAATTGTTTACTTAATTTCTTTCTCTAAATCAATTCAATTTTTAAGCTTTAAAATGTTTATCTAAAACAGGCAATATCACTTTGTAAATGGAAATGTGTACAGCTTATAATAAGTGTTGAAGGGGTTTCATTTTTTCAAAGTGTCAATGAAAAATTTAAAGTTATTATAGTCTAGCCAGGTATTAATGCTTGCTCAAGGCTATGAGCCTGAGACCTGCTCTTTTTTTGGCAAAGAAGTGCTATAAGCAAGCATTAGAAAGGTTTTGAAGATATTCTAGCACCAAATTCCAATTTTTGCCTTTCAGAAAATGACAAGGATTAAAATAAATTTTAAAAAGGAACAATCTTCTCAGTAAGGAATTCAGTTATTTCATTTTGAGCACCACTGGTGCCTTTGGGACCTTGTCCTAGGATTAGTGTTAAGGAGAGATCAGAAGAGTGATTGGAGTGAAGTAGTCTGAGTCAGCCTGAGGCATGGAACCTACAACAGTCAAAACTCAAAGAAATCCATCCTTCTTGGCATATAGAATTATCTAGCAGAGCCCCCCCCCCCCCAAGGGCCAAATGTGGAGCTTATAGCCATTGAGTCTGGTGCTGTTCTCTTTGATGAGTTGTTATTGTTGCTGTTAGGTGCTATCTAGTCAAGTATGACTCAAAGCAACCCTATGAACAACAGATCTGAAAACCCTGTTCTGTCTTCTGTCTAGTGCCATTCCTGTAATTTCTGACATACTTGAGCTTGTTACAGCAGTCATTGTATCAAACCATATCACTGAAAGTCTTCCTCTCCTTAGGTGATCCTCTACCTTCCCAAACATGCTATCACTTTCCAAGTATACTCCCTTCCAGTAGTATGTCCAAAGTAGATGAGACAAAGCTTCACCATCCTTGCTTCTAAGGAGCACTTTGATTACACCTTCTCCAAGATGTATCTCTTCGTTTTTTGGACAGTCCATGGGCCCATTCAGTACTCGACTGCAACATTACAACTCAAAGGCATTAATTCTTCTGTCATCATTATTCATTGTTCAACTCTCAGATGCATAGCAAATGATGAAAAGACCGTAGCCTGAATTAGGCACAACTAAGTCTTTGATGAGATAGGATCTTCCAACATAAACCCTGGAAGAAATTCAGGGGGACGCACTTCTCTGAGCAAGAAGAATGGTTTGAATGGAACCAGATGAGCTTAAGGTCTTCATAGGAGCAGGCAGCATATCATAGCCCTTGGCTGATGAGGCCTGTGGGAAATAAGGTTTAGAAAACCTATGTGTTGCTAACTTGGCAGCAGCTTCAGAGAGGAATACCAGTAGACTATCCATCATCTGGCCCTGTGCTTTATGTATACTGGGCCCATCTATCATCCCGGAAAGAGACCATGCTTAACAAGGCCTGGGGATGAGTATTTCACATCACTTATTCATTAGTTTGTAAGATTTGACTTTCCAAGATGAACCACAGGGTTTGAAGTACTTTGAAATGTGTTCTTTAAAAAGAAAAAAAAGGAAGAAATGACAACTCTCATCTTCCCACTGTTACTATGATGGGGATGTTGTTACTATGATAGGGTTGTTCTGATCTCTTTGCTTTCATCAAATTAATTGCCCATTCTTCTGCAATGACTTAGATACAAGGATATAGATACTGTCTGGGAGAGTCGTCTGCTTTGAATGGTAATGAGGGCTGTATGCATACAATCGCTGTGCCTTTTAGAAAACTGGAAAAGGTTGTGTGCTTGGTTTGCTCATCCATCTAGAGCTGTAACTTAATTTAGAGTGTTTGCAGAAGGCTGTTTGAAGTAGATATTAGGAAAATGAAAAAAAAAAAAATTCTTAGATTTGTTGGAAGGTCATAGTTTAGCTAAATATTGCCAGGTTTATTTTTTTAATTCGGCTTAGAATATCAGAATGTCAAAACGGAAAAGACCAGAAGAACCAAACCAGATGCTGTCAAGTCAGTTCCAGCTCATGCATTTCAGAGTGGAACAGTGCTCTGTAGGAGTTCGGTGACTGTCATCTACATGAAGTACCTTGCTAGACCCTTCTTCCAAGATACATCTAGTTGGATTGACGCACCAGTCTTTCATTTAGTAACCAAACACTTAACCAAGTTTGTGCCACCCACAGACAAAGAGAACACAAGGACTGTCTAACTAAAGGTCCTCGTTAGATGAGGACGCAGAGGCCAGCAATGACTCATCCAAGGCCAAACTGTGAAGCATCAGTGGATTAGTAAATGACTACATGCAGTTTCTACTTATGTAAGCCAAAGGAAAACTCTTTTTATGATGGGATAAAATACAACATCTGACTGATGAAGAAAGGAGAAACAGTCTAAAAAATTCAATTCTGGCTTGTGACAAATAGTTCTTATTTATGATGAATATTGCTTGTCCTCTTTATCAAGAAATATAGCAATTTTTGTCTGCCTAGTGATTAGGAAAGGAGTCTGTTGGGTCAGTGGTTAAATGCTTGACTGCCAGCTGAAAGATTGCTAGTTCAAACCCACCTTGGGCCCCCGTGGGAAGGACCTGGCAATCTGCTTCCATAAAGATTACAGTCTAGAAAACCCCAAGGGGACTTTCCATTCTGTCACATGGGATTGCTTCGAGTGAGAAATCAACTACACAATATTTAAGAACAACAAAATTATTGTTGATGTTTCTTGTTATGTGCCAATGAGTAGTTTGCGACTCATAGCAACTCTATGTACAATAGCTCTGAATCCTGCTCTATCCTGTGCCAACCTTGTTGTCTCTGACACATCTATCCCCATTACCCCAGTCACTGAATCAATCCATCTCATCAAGGATTTTCCTTTCTTGCACTGTCCCTCCACCCTTCCAAGCATGATGTCCCTCTCCAAGGACTGATCCCACCTTGCCACATGTCCAAAGTATGTCAGATGAAGCTTCAGAATCCTTGCCTCCAAAGAGCATCCTAGTTTCACCCTTTCCAGGACAAACCTATTCATTCTCTTAGCAGTCCATGGTATAGTCATACTCTTCTCTAGCACCACAGCTTAAAGGCATCAATTCTCTTTCTATCATCCCTAGTCATTGTCAAGCTTTCTGATGCATAGCAAGTAATTGTGAAGACTATCTCCTGGATCAGGCACACTTCAGTCTCCAGATTGACATCATTGCTTTTCAATACTCTAGAGAGGTCCCTGACAGCAGACTTTCCTAATGCAATTAGTCTTTTGAGTTCTTGGCTGCTAGTCCCAAGAGTGTTGATTGTGGAGCCAAATAAACTAGTGATGTTAACAATCTCACACAAAATAATTAGTAAACTTCAATAAGATAGGTTAGCTATAGGCACACATAGATATATCTGTATCTTTAGAAACTCTGTTGGCATGATAGTTGTGTGCAGCATGTTGGGCTGCTAACTAAAAGGTTGGCTGTTCAAATCTACCAGCTGCTCTGAGAGAGAAAGACTAGGCAGTCTCCTCTTGTAAAGATTTACAGCCTTTGGAGTCTGTTGGAGGATCACCATGAGTTGGACTCAAATTGATGGCATGGCAACACGTACACACACACACACACACACACACACACACACACACACACTAGCAATTGCTGGGATTGCCTACTTAGGCCTCAAACCTTGTTTGGGACCCTTCCTTTTGGGAGATGCCAGATGTTTACTTTGAGCAGCCCTGGAGCTTCTCTTTGTGAAAGCACATTGTCTTGCAGCTCCTGGGTGTAAGGAGCTGACAAGTTCAAATGAGAGAAGGCCCCAAACTCTGCATAACTGTAAGAAGCTCTTGACCTTCAAGCCCACAACCTCTTGTTAGCATGTAATCTCTAGAAGTGGCCAAAGAGAATGAGCAATTTTAAAAGATACACAAACAACCCAATTGGACATCAGTTTGTGCAGGCCCTGAACTTTTCTACCTGAGAGAGAAAAAGAAATGGTGGAAGCAAAACTATACACATTTGTCAAACAAAATTAGATGCCATCAACTGAAATGACTGCTTTTGAGTTCTCCCTCACCACCGAAAGTGGGCTTCCTGCTAAGGAACATTGATCTTTCTAGTAATAATAGTAATAGACCTTTGGATTTGTACAGAGGCTTGCCAGTACAAAAGGCACTCATATAGATTATCTCATTTGTTCCCTATGGCAGTTCCTCTGTGGATAGTTGTTCCCAGTCTACAGATAAGGAAGCTGAGACCCAAACAAGTTATGGAGGTTTCCTGAACTCAGATAGTTAGCAGATTTCACAAGTATAGTGATACTTTTATCATGATACCTTTATCATGAGGCATTTATTATAGCAACCTTCCTCCATGCTGTAAGGAAATGGTGTGTTTAGAAATGAACACCAAGTGCTTCCCACATCCCTTGACACATAGTAAGTGCTCAGCATGTGATACTTTACTGCTGAGGAAGAGGCAGCATGAGGGAGTAATTAAGACCACACGATTTTTGGATAGACCGATCCAAATTTGAGTCTTGGCTCTGTCCCCTTCTGCTCCCTGTGACCAAGCTAAATGGCTCACCTCCCTAGAGAATGACAACCCTTATCTCACAATATGTAATTGAGAGGCGAGATACGAAGGCATGTGCAGAGCTCAGCATAGACTCTGCCTTTGGTATTCAATAGATGGAGTGATGGTTATACCAAAAAATTTGCTCATTTGACATAATGAACCAAAGCAATTCCAACATACAGTTCATAGTAAAACACCTTGCATTTGGGATCTCAGGTATTCTGAAAATTATGTCTTTGCCCCTTTCTTGACTTTCTGTGTTGAATGTTTATGAGGTGGCCTGTGGCCCCTGAAATGTGTGTGCTCTGCAGAGCAGACCTCAGCATGGTCAGGTACCTGTATATGATGCACGCTGTGTTCTGGCAGGTGCTGCAATTGTTGAGATCTTGGCCTGTTCGGTAAAAGTTGCGCCTGGAAGACAGAACAGTTGCTTGGTAAATGTTTTAAGCAAGACTGGCATGGGATGCTTGCATTTTACTGACTCACTCGTTAGTCCTGACCTGCTAACATCACTTCTCAATTTAGTGCTGCTCTGAAGCCTGGAAAACAGTGCTTCCTTTTTCTAGAGGGCTATATATGCACATGTTTCAAACATTTTTAAATCTGAGGCGCTTTTTGTCCTATACTGACAATAGCCTTGTTAGCTGACTCAGTTATCCTGACAGAAGGAGTATGTTAAAATCCTGGCCCCTTGGCTTACTGTATTCCTCTGTCACTACGCTTCTTCCTTTAAATCAATGCTGATTCTGCCAAATAGCCACTAAGACCAGTTCATGACCTCTCTCCCCTCCCATCTTTTTTTCTTTTTAATTATTATTAGCTTTAGCCATTCTTAGTTCTCTGTTGTTCAGGAGTCCTTTTTGGAGATAGGAGCATCCCATATTTCAAAGAATAGCTGCCTTCTCCCTAGATTGGTGCTGAGTCACCCAAGAAAGCATTTTTTGGTGACTTTCTTTCTCTGCAAAATTTGTGATTTCAGGTCCTAGTTAGTTGGCCAGTGATGGACTAGCCCGTCATCAAAGTGGTCAGTGGAGGGGAAGGTCAACAGTAAGTTCAGCAGCATGTCAAGTCCTTTGTTACAAACACACAAATAACTACAATGCAGTGCAGCCGCCTTCGCTGACTGGAAGGAGAGGGTGGGAAAGTCCTGCCTGCCAGCTTTTCCCTGTCATTTATCAACTGAGCCTTCCCCTTCACAAAGATCATGGTTTTGACCCTGCTGCTTAATTACCTCCTTTCCCCAGTGGAAACACCTGGAAACAAAAACAAATAGCAATGAAAAGCCACACAAATCCTCAAAGGCCTGAAAGAATGAAAACCCAACCAAAGAAAAGGAAGGACATTTGGCTCCAGCCGGCAGAGGACAACTGCACTTCCAACATCTTGGAATTATTTTGCTGACAGAAACCAATGCTCTCTCAGTTTCTAGCCTGACACATAACTTAACCCAGAAGTTTGTGATTAGAGGAGGAGTGAAAAAAAAAATCACCTTACCCTTCTGTCAGAGCTCTAGCTTTTTCCAAGTCTTGAATTACATTCAACAGGACTTTAATTTTCTCTTGGTTCGAGTGCAGGGATTCCTCCACCGATTGTAGCCTGCCTTGGAGGTCACAGAGTTCACCCCTGGCGAGGTGGATTTGATTGATCCCACTCATCTCTGTGTTGCTCTGGAGCTTTGTTTCATTTCTTGGGAGAGAGGATGGGGTGGGATCACTTCCTGAACAGTCTGGAGGGTCCAGGGGATCGGACTGCGTGGAATTCTTGGACGCCTCCTCCTGGCATGTGGGGGCAGATCTTGGCCCACAGTTAGCTTTTAGTGCCGCCAGGTCCTGGTGATTGTTACCAGAAGAAAGGCAGTCTGAAGTTCTTCCTGGATGGGCTGGCTGGCTGTGGGTGCCTAGTGAGGGGGAGCTGTGAGTCCGTGGAGGAGAGCGGATACACTTCTCCTCACATTGAGAGGACAGTGGGCCATGGTCTTTGCCATGGGGGTTGTCTTTGGGCAAAAGCAATTGTGGGTGGAATTTACCTGTGCCTGGTATGTGGTTGGCACCGCTGGTGGCATTTAAGCAGGAGGAAGGTCTTTCTGACTCTGACGGTGGTGCACTTCTCCTGTCACCTGGACATGTTTCAGCCCCGGGGTTTATGGAGTTACTGATGTCTGCCAATCTAACTGGGCTGAAAGTGACCCCTCGAACCTCCCAGGAAGGACTGTGGTAAATATCGTCTGGAACCTGAATGGCAGCTGTTGCTTTCTCCGAGGTTCCCCAAGTCCCTGCTTCCAAGCAGATGCTAACAGGCCCATTGCTTTGCACCTTGGATACCCTCGAGAGAAATGGGTGAGACAGCTTGACCCTTCGGGGCCCATCGTCAAGGTGCTGAGCTAGCCTCAAGTAGGTGAAATCAGAAGACACAATGTCCTGTTCAGAGAGGTTGCCGTTGACCTGGATGGCACTTTGGGTTGCTGTTGGCATTTCCACCAGGGACTTGCTGGCTGTGAGTTTCTTTTTTTTGAAAATTGGGAAATGCTTCCTGAGACTGGGGGAGGTTTGGATTGCGATGTTCCGAAAGCCCCCTGCCTTCTGGGCCCTGGGGAAGGACAGTGAGTAGGAGGGTAGGTGATGGTGCCTGGATGTTTGGGTCTTACCCATCACAACCGTGTCTTCGGAGGTGTGGGCATCGTCCTCAGGGAGGCCGCCTGGGTTCTTACTGGTCCCATCTTCCTTGAACCGGACCTGCTGGGATTTGCTCCTGCGGTGGTGAGGCTGTTTTACAAACTCCAGTGACTCTAGGCTGCTTCGCTTCAGGAGCACAGGCCGCACTTTCACATTTTGCTGGGCCATTGAGCCTCAGTTGAAAGGGTTGGGACCATGAGTGTCTCTCGGGCACATTGCCTTAGGTCTTTGGAGTGGCATCTGATGATGGCATTTCAGACACAGAGAAATGCCAGTCAGGATGGAGCGGTCCTCTCCTCTTACTGTGAGAAGCTTTGTAGGCCATTCCCAGCCTGTGGGTTCTACTTAGGAGTGATTCCTAATGTTTCCTCTGCAGTCAAAATATTATTCCATTGTCTTGATAGGCATCACTTAGATTAACAATGAGTTACACTAATTATACATCTCATCTACCAAGAGAACTGGTGGGCTGTTTATCAAAGGAGATAGGCAGAAGGTTCTGATGCTAGTGGAAATTTGCTGTTGTGAACACAAAAAAATGACAGAAGTACCATTTAGAGGACAGTGCCAGACTTCCAGGGTATGGATTCCAAAAGGAAACTGCTACGTGTGGAACATAAAGCTTCCTCCTTTCCCAGCACATCAATTTCCAGTGTAAAACTGCAGGGAACTTAAACACATCTTCTTTGCATAACATGTAAAAAGGTGAAGAAAGAAATGACCTGTAGGTTTACTTCTTTGATGATATATGATACTCCCAAGGGAACATCTCTGTTTATGTCAAAAACAGATCCTTCCCTTGGGGCCATTTTCTTTCTTTCAGGCTACTTCCTTTTCTTCAGCAAAGGATACTTATCTTCCTAAATTGCTTCACAAAACCCAGTGGAGTGTGACCAGGACAGGATTGAAGCATTGAGGGGATTCAGAGGGCAGCGTCCCCATGGTGATGATCACATGGAGGCAGAGTGAGCCATGTCTGCCGCCTCTGAAGTTTGAGCCAGGGCCGGTGTTCACTTGGCCCTGGGGATCGGACCTGAGCCAACAAATGATCTCTGCAAGCAGGCAACAAGCGTCTGAAAGGGAAGAGACAACAGTTGCCACTGAGAATGAAGTTTCTATGGATCTTATTTTGCTACAAATTCCAACCTCCTAACTCTAAGTGCTTTTGAGTAAAAAGTATAGGATTAAGCTGTCCATACAGTACTTTGTTCTATTCCCTTAGTGTATCAGGTAACTTCTGCCTACAGGCCCTTTAACAAAATGCTGCCTGCCAGGCCTTTGCCAGCCTCCACTCCCAGGCACTCAATCAACTCCTGTTCATTAAAGAAGCCCCAGCTTAAATGTCCTTTCCTTAGTGATCCTATCCACGACTTCACCCTCATACACACCCTCAGTCCTAGACCACACCAAGACCCCTAGCAGATGTTCTCATTAGCCCCCTCAGAGCACAGATTGCAGCTGTAATTAGTAATCTACTGTGTATATATTTATTTAGTGTGTATCACCAAGGACCCTGGAAGGACTAGGAAGGTTGGAGGTAGATCTACAGCCTTCATGCAGGCTCGATACAGTGCTTCATCGCATTTGGTGAATGAGTGGATGGCTGGAACAAGAGCCTGGATTATGGGAGCTCTAGAGTGTCATGCTGCAGCCAATAGACATTGTCCTAGCATTCTAACTATTAACTGTAGCCAAGATTTCCTTTAACATCTTCATTTTAGAATTTCTTTCTTAGGAAATAATTGGATATGGGCTTCTTCATGGAAAGTGCCTCTTTTAATACTAACAGCAACCATTTATTGAACACCTATTTTTACCATGCTGCAGACTTCATATACTTTAATTATAGTAACTGGCATCTACTTAGTTCTTGCTACTGTGTCGGGTGTTGCTCTGAGCAAGCACCTTTCATCAATAACACATTTTTTTCCTCATAAACTACCCTATAAAATGACTATGATTGTTACTCCCATTTTGTAGTCAAAGAATCAGAACCCTAGCTCTCTTGTTCATAGGATCTCTATGAAATATAGTTGACTAGACAGCACATGACAACAACATAGGTGAGTCCTAAATCGATGCTCTTAACCTTGAAATTATGTCTTTGCCTCCTTGGGATCTGCTTTGGGTATACAAGTCAGATGAAATTAGGGTGAAGTACCCATCAGGGCTACAGAGACTCAGTGGGCTGTCCCCTGTCCTTGACATAGAAAGGTGAACTTGTTGGTTGCAAATTAAAGAAGTCTCATGGAACTAGACTAAGGCCCTATTCTGCCTGAATTTTTTCTTAAGAGTAGGATTTTCAATGAAGATAATGTCATAAACAACTTCAAGTGTTTGGCTATCTTGAGAAAATATTCTGTCCATGGCACCCAGTCTTATCACATGGCATACTCCTTGTCATCACACAGGTTATAGTTGAACTGGGCTGTGAGTCTTAATGGTCTGGCAGTTATATATTATTATAATTTGGTAATTATCTAATGATGTAAATTGGCACTTATGGAATGATGTCATCTTCCTCTGCTTTGTGATGTAACGAGGTCCTTCATTTTTGCATAAAGCTGATTTTCACGTAACGATCTCACCTTTGAAATCTAACCATGTTGATAAATTAGGAGAAACTCTATCATCAAGTTCTGTGTTAGCACTTGGAATTTAATCTTCAAAATAGCCCTCTGCATATGTCCTCATTTTGCAGAGCCAACAATTGAGACTTGAGAGGTAGAGTTACTTGTCTGAAACTGCATACCTCGTATCCTTAATTTTTATATATTTATTGCTACTTTTGTGGGTTGTTTTGTCTAGCTATTCTCTACTTTCTCACTCTTCTTAATTCTTCACTAACACATTCTTTAAGGTTAAACGACTACTGACTACCATTGTCCAAGGTGATTTTCAGGAGAGCTTATATATTTAATAATTACATGTCAGGCATTTTCCCAGGTATTTTGATTAAGTATTCTACTTAATCTTCATGACCACCTTAGGGATGGGATGCTGTAAGGCTTCCATTTTATAAAGGAAGAAATGAGGCAAAGAAGGTGAAGAAATTTTGCCTGGTAAGTGACAGAGTCGGCATTTGAACTCACAGCCTGAACCTGGTAGATAGGCTCCTAACTTCCTGCTTTCTCTAGAAATGAGAAAGGACTAGCATTTTTCTGAAAAATACATCTTGCAAGTTTCAAAGATTTTGTCCATTTTCCCCTCTGAAACTCTGCCGTATGCTGGTGTTAGCACTCTTCTTTCTCTGGGAAATATATGTACCCTTCAGATGTTTAAAAAAGTTGGTTTTCTATTTATAAAGATATTTCATGCTCATTGCCATAACTCACATAATACAGGTAAACAAAAAAGAAGAACGTGGTTTGCAATGTCACCACTCAGAAAGAATCACTGCACTGGCCATTTGGTGAAGAGCATTTGCTGCTGTACACTGACATGCACACACAGGTCTACCAAGAGCTTTATTTCCCCCTGAAAAACAGGAAGAAGGTTCTCTATTACTGTCTATAAATTCATACCGCCCTTTTAATTAGGCTAATAGGATTCTGTTATCTGGTTATACTATGATCTATTTAAATAGTGCCCTTTTTCAGGCTATGCGACTTCTTCTAAATATTTGCTATTATTAATAAAGCTGTAAATAACATTTTTAGATGATGTGAACCTTGGAGCACTTGTCTAATTATCTCTTTGGATTAAATTCTTAGAAGTGGAATTTATAGGTCAAAGGAGCCATATGTTTCATATTTTGATGTTATTCCTCCTTTTCCTTCATGACAGAGTAATACACAGCTTCATCACTCCTACATGAGGAGGTCTTTTTACCAGAGCCTCTTCATCACCACATATGTCAGATTATAATGATTTTTTCCATTGTCAAGAAAATACAATATAAAGTATATCTCACTTTCCACATCATAGTATTTATTGGCCATTTTTAATGTCTTTTTGTTTTATGTACTTTTGTGAACAAAGAATGGCAGTTAACTGACAATATGAACAAGTAGGTTAATATGGAAATGGTTGCATTAAAGACGTGGCTTTGTAAGCTTATGAAAGATCAGGATTTTACCTAAAATGTATCTATTAATATTCTAACTCTCCACCATGACCTTTATGCCAGCATGTCCTAGGGAGCTGGCCTGGCTAAAAGGAATGGCCCTCTGGAGACACTCAGGTCCCAGAAGCTCCAAGCTGGCCATTAATTGATAGGGAGTTCCCTGAGCCTTGGTGGTCAGGGCTTAATTAATATCTTGGCCAGAGTCCAGGATATCACTCCCCAGACATGCTCACAACAGCCTGCTGCACACTCATTGCCTCAGAGTCATTGCTGATGTTTGCAACCCTCTCTTCTCCATTCCCTCAGTTATTGATGTACTGAACATGGGCTGATGTTTACGTTGCAATCACATCTTTAGTCCACCCTGCATAGTCCTCAAGGAATTAGCTTCCAGTCAGTCAACAGAGAATCATGTAATACTATTGTTAGCTTTCTTCTAGAATGGAATTCCAGCTCTCTTCACTGGCATGGATTTAGGGGTTAAGTATTTAAGTTTAACATAAGATTGATCTAGGGTAGAATCTTTCACTTACTGACGCTTGACCTGTAAAAGTGATTTGATCTCGCTCAACTTGACAAACACTTGACAGCACCATCACCAACAAAGCCTTGTTGTGAGCTTTATCTAAGTAAGATGGCTAGTGCAGTCAACATTTACTAACCAGATGTAACTGAAGACTACGTAGTACTTATAAGGCCCCCCCCCTTAATTCCCTTGGGAGAGCAAAATTTAGTTGAATTTATAGGAGGCATAAGAATAACATTCCCAGGACTCATGTAAATCTCCGTCACTTATATCCTTTACGATGTTTTGATATTGCACTTGTCTAATATGCTGTAATTATCTACTGACCTGCCTCTCCAAATAAAGTTGATGCTCCTTGAGAAGAGGAAGTTGTGAAGTGGGTTTTAGCCTGATGCCAAGCAGACGTTAAGTGAATGTCAAATGACGAATCTATTCTTCTATTGTCTAATTTGCCAGAGTTTCTGGGGCATAGAGTAAGTTGTATTGTTGACATGCAATAAATATTTGTATAACTAATTAACTAAGAGTGGATAAATTCATTTACTTCCAACTTTCTTTCTCTTCCAGTGATATATT